GAGTGATTCCAGCTTGACTGCAATTCTCTTCTAGAAGGTAAATTTAACCCCTTCAATACCGAGCATTCCCACCCCCTTCCTGCCCAGGCCAAATTTCAGTGCTATCACACTCTAAATGACAATTGCGCAGTCATGCAACACTGTACCCATAATATATATTTTTTTTTCACACAAATAGAGCTTCCTTTTGGTGGTATGTAATCACCACTGGGGTTTTTTTCATTTTTTGGTAAATAAAGACTGAAAATTAAAAAAAAAAAAGAATATTTCTTCGTTTCTGTTATAAAATTATGAAAATAAATAATCTTCGTTCATAAATTTAGCCCTACATGTATTCTGCTACATCTCCTAGATTGTAAGCTCCAAGGAGCAGGGCCCTCCTAACCAGGGGGGGACTGACAACTTATGGGGCCCCCAGGCAATAGGGGATCATGGGGCCCCTGTGTCCTTGCTCAAACTCAAAAATGCCTATGAAAAAGGTACCAGGGGCATCTCATGGGGCCCCCTACTGACCACGGGCCCTTGGGCAGTGCCCGAGTTTCTAAGTGGTCAGTCCGCCCCTGGGGGTGTTACGTGTACTTGCAGATTTAGGGTCCATGTACACTGCCTCTGATAAAATGATGTTCCGGAGCTTTTCTGCGTTTTTTTCAGCAGCCCCTGAACCCTCCCTAATGTTTTCCTATGTGCCCATGAACACATCATCGTTTACAGGCAGTTGAGTTTACAGTCATTCTTTTAAACTCACCAAACTTGCGTTCAGGAGTAGATTTTATCAGCGTTTCAAACGCTTGTAAATGTGTGTAAACTCTTGTAAATGCAGGTAACCGTGTTTATAAGCGTTTGCGTTTACAAGTGTTTTTTAACTGTTTCATGTCCAGATGCTGTCCGGAGCCTTTTTCCATCATCAGAAATGCATGCAAAGCATTTTCCATGTATTCAAATGGACCCGGTACACCAGCGCAGTCAGTTCCAGGCTTTGTGTGAAGGAATAAATGGTAGAACGCGCCGCATTATGCTCATGATGGGATCCATAGTGAATACAACCAGAAAAGACAGGTCATCTCAATACATACTGCTCTCTCTGCTTCTGCTCTCTCTGTTCCTCTCAAAATGTCTGAAATAGTTAATTTTTTACTATTTTTCAGTGCATTCTGGGCATTTGGGAAGGTCTCCTGAGGTTATCTTTAAAAAAAACGTTTCTAAACGCAAACGATCATAAACGCGCATAAACGCGGTATGCAAACGCGGCTAAACAGACTTTTTTTAACCTATATTTTCCAGCAGTCAGTTTCCATCGTTCAGAAGAGTTTTCCAAATGTCCGGTGTACATGGAGCCTTAGCTGCACTAAGAATTTGAAGTCAAACTCCAGCCAATACTTGATAATCAATTACTGCAAACAGTTTTTTTCCTTTTGGGATAGTGATTTTACATAAATAAACAAAAGCTGATCCTTGTAAGCACCGCTGTCATTGATAAATGGTTTATCTCATCCACATGAGCTGATACATTCTGCAAGAGAGCTTGTTTTTTTTGAAAAATAACAGACTTACTAGCTGGATCAATAAAGACAAGAAAGCCTTAAAAAGAAAGCCAATGCGGTTGAGACCAACTACAAGGTCTTGTCTCGATGGTGCTTAGTCCCGGCAAGGATCGCTAAGTATACTCAAGGTTACTCCCCCGACTGCTACGGGGCTGCGCAATGGCGGGAACGTAAGTCCACATTTGGTGGTCCTGCCCAGTAGCTCATACCTTCTGGGTTGAACTCTTCCACATGCTGTCTACTCTTTTTCAAACGCCATTGCCGCCCACCACGGACACTGCCCTACTCAATCTTCGTCCTCCCTCGATTTCTAAGCTTCAATTTAAGCTATTCTTGCAGATCACAATTGCCGCCAAACAAATAATAGATAAATCTTGGAAAACCCCATCTCTATGCGTATTGGCAGGCCGGAATAAGGTGACACAGGTGATGATACACGCTAAGGTGGAAGCTTCCATCACAGACACAATCCCTACATTTTTGTCAATTTGGTCTCCTTGGGTCGATCACTTCCTCCCAGGGGCGGACTGACCATTCGAGCACTCGGGTCAGTAGGGGGCCCCATGAAATGCCCCTGGTACCTTTTTTATAGGCTTTTTTGAGTTTGGGCAAGGACACAGGGGCCCCATGATCCCCTATTGCCCGGGGGCCCCATGAGTTGTCAGTCCGCCCCTGCTTCCTCCCTCAAGGTTTCAATAAATCGTTGCTCCTCCCCTAGTTATTTCCCTCACCTAAGGGTAGCCCGGAGCCTTGGTCCTCTCCCAAGTACCCCTCTCTGCCCGGGAAGTCACACTCTCTGTCCGTACTCCTCTCTCCCCACCTTCTCTTTTCTTCCCCCCACTTCTCTTCTCCCTCCCCAATATGGTCCCCCCTATGTATATAATAACCGCATTGTTGTAATAGGCCATTACGCCTCATGCCTCCCTCCGCTATTTTTCTGTAAATGTTTTGTGCATATTGCTGTATGCTCTATACCCTTTAAACCCAATAAAATGTTTGAACAAGAAAAAGAAAGCCAATGCGTCCATCACATCTAATGATTGGTAAGCTGCAATATAATAAATGTTTGCATTAGGTTTAACCACTTTCCGACTGGCCGCTGCATATAAACGGCCAGACGGTGGCACTGCAGGGTCGGGGCCGTTTATAAACGGCCTCCCTGCACCCTGCTTGTGCGCGCTCCCCTGGGACACAGTGAAACACCGATCGTCGGACGGGACATCTGTACGAGGTCCCGATCATGTGATCACTGATTGGCCAATCAGTGATCACATGCAAAGTAGTAAGCAAGATGTCACTTGTGACATCATTGCTTACTATGTGTGAAATCTGTGAATGATCACAGAGGTCACATGGTACAAGGCTATTCACAACAGCCTTGTACCATGTGACAAGCTGTACCAATCACAGCTCACTCAGTACTTCTCAATGAGTGCAATAATGCAGACAGAGAGAAAGAGAAATGATTGCTCTTACATCCTATATGGGTGTAAAAGCAATCAGTGTAAAACAAAAAAAAAAATCTTCATCACCCCCCCCACAAGTAGTACAGTGTCACCATGGTGACACTGTACTGCTACGGTGATAGTATGTAAAAAAAAAAATTAAAATAAAAAATAATAATATAAAAAAAATAAAATAAAAATGTAAAAAAAAAAATGTTTAAAAATTATAATTTTCGGTTATAAACTAATTTGGATTTTTTTTTTTACTAAAAAGAAAACGGAATAATTTTGGCCAAGATTTATGATGAAATATTATTTATTTGCAAAATTTTATTAAAAAAAAATACACTTTTTTTTTCTCAAAATTTTTGGACATTTCATTTACATAGCAAAAAAAAATAAAAATCCCAGTGGTGAATAAATACCACCAAAATAAAGATTTATCTGTCTCAAAAAAATGGTACAAAATTCATTGGGTACAGTGTTGCATGACCGCGCAATTGTCATTCAAAGTGTGATAGCGCTGAAAGCTGAAAATTGCCCTGGTCAGGAAGGGGTGAAAGTGTCCGGACTGGAAGGGGGTGAAAGTGTCCGCACTGGAAAAAGTGTCCGGGGTAAAAGTGTCCGGACTGGAAGGGGGTGAAAGTGTCCGGTCCGGGGGGTGACTAGAAGGGGGTAAAAGTGTCCGGACTGGAAGGGGTGAAAGTGTCGGTCTGGAAGGGGGTAAAAGTGTCCGGACTGGAAGGGGTGAAAGTGTCCGGACTGAAGGGGGTGAAAGTGTCCGGACTGGAAGGGGGTAAAAGTGTCCGGACTGGAAGGGGTGGTGAAAGTGTCCGGTCTGGAAGGGGGTGAAAGTGTCCGGACTGGAAGGGGGTGAAAGTGTCCGGACTGGAAGGGGGTGAAAGTGTCCGGACTGGAAGGGGGGAAAGGTGGAAAGGGGGTGAAAGTGTCCGGACTGGAAGGGGTGAAAGTGTCCGGACTGGAAGGGGGGTAAAAGTGTCCGGACTGGAAGGGGGTGAAAGTGTCCGGACTGGAAGGGGGTGAAAGTGTCCGGACTGGAAGGGGGTGAAAGTGTCCGGACTGGAAGGGGGTAAAAGTGTCCGGACTAGAAGGGGGGAAAGTGTCCGGACTGGAAGGGGGTGAAAGTGTCCGACTGGAAGGGGGTGAAAGTGTCCGGACTGGAATAAGTCTTTGAAAGTGTCCGGTTCTGGAAGTGGTTAATAAGGCTTTAAGTTGATAGCAAAAGAAAGAAAGAAAGAGGGAACTTTTTTAACTCGAAAATATTGTAATTGAGTAACGCTGACATCTTCCTGACTGACTCATTAGAAGTGTGAATTTAGTGACAGATCCACTCCACATCTTCAGTCACGTTCTTTGAAAGACCGCCAACAAGGTTCAGCCGCCAAGATTTTTTACACCGACTTCTGTGAATGTTTAATATAAAAAGTTACAATAAAATGAGAAGTTGTAAAGAGGGATGGCTTATTCATTCACCTGTAACCTGTCCTGTATGGCGTATGTTGTATTTTGTGATTAACCCCTTGCCGACCTCATAACGCATATATGCGGCAACAGGAGAGGTGCGCTCTAACGCCCATCCACCGCAAATATAGTACTGTGCAAAAGTTTTAGGCAGGGGTGAAAAAATGCTGTAAATGAAGAATGCTTTCAGGAATAGAAGCGATAAACGGTTATTTTTTATCAATTAACGAAATGGAAAAATGAACAGAAGAGAAATCCAAATCAAATCAATGCTGTGACCACCCTTTGCTTTCAAACAGCATCAATTCTTATAGGGAGAAGTGAAGGGACTCGGCAGGTAGGTTGTCCCCAGACATCTTGGAGGACTAAGCAAAGATCTTCTGTGGATGTCAGCCGCCTCCAATCCTTCTGTCTGTTCATGTCATCCCAGACAGGCTCCAGAATGTTGAGATCAGGGCTCTGCTGGGGCCAAACCATCACTTCCAGGACTGTTTGTTCTTCTTTACACTGAAGATAGTTCTTAATGACATAGTTAAATGTTTGGGGTCGTTATCAGGGGGCGGACTGACCATTTGGAAACTCGGGCACTGCCCGAGGGCTCGGGGTCAGTAGGGGTCCCCATGAGATGCCCCTGGTACCTTTTTCATAGGCTTTTTTGAGTTTGGGCAAGGACACAGGGGCCCCATGATCCCCTATTGCCCGGGGGGCCCCATGAGTTGTCAGTCCGCCCCTGGTCGTTATTCTGCTGCAGAATAAATTTGGGGCCAGTCCCACGCCTCCCTGATGGTATGGCATGATGGATAGGTATCTGCCTGTATTTCACAGCATTGAGGACACCACTGATCCTGAACAAATCTCCAGCTCCAAACTTGCAAAGAACCTCCACCATGCTTCACAGTTGCCTGCACATTTATTATTGTACCACTTTCCAGCCCTTCGACTGCCTCCTGCTACAGACAAATATTTCAAACCGTGACTCATCAGTCCAGAGCACCTGCTGCCATTTCTTTGCACCCCAATTTCCATGCGTTCATGCATAATTGAGTCGCTTAGTCTTGTTTCCACGTCAGGGTTTTGGCTTTTTGGCTGCAATTCTTCCATGAAGACCACTTCAGGCCACATTTCTCCAAACAGTAGATGGGTTCCTGGGTCCCACTGGTTTCCACCAGTTCTGTGCTGATGGCACTACTGGATATCTTCAGATGTGGAAGAAAAGTAAGCATGATGTGTTTTATCTGTTGCATTAAGTTTCCTGCGTCTACGGTCCTCAACGTTGCGGTTTCCTTGTGCTTCTTCAAAAGAGCTTGAACAGCACATTTTGAAACCCCAGTTTGCTTTGAAATTTTTGCCTGGGAGAAAACCTTGCTGAGGCAGTATAACCACCTTGTGTCTTGTTGCTGTGCTCAGTCTTGCCATGGGGTATGATCTGTGACATGACACTGTCTTCCACAACCTCACCTTAGTAGCAGAGTTTGGCTGTTCATCACCCAACTTACATGAAACTGATGATCATTAGCATATGCTCGGTATAATTGGTTAATCATACACCTGACTGTAATCCTACAAAATCTCTGACTTTGTGCAAGTGTAAGAACTGATGCTGGTTTGAAGCCAAAGGGTGGTCACACCAAATATTGATTTGATTTGAATTTTTATTTTGTTGGCTCACTTTGCATGTTGTAAATTGATAAAAAAAAAAAAACAAATTAAAATATATACTTTTGAAAGCAATCTTACTTTACACCATTTCTTCACACATGCCTAAAATTTTTGCACAGTACTGTATGCGTTCCTGTTGACAGTAGGTTGTGTGCTAACAGTGTGCACGGAGCATGCTTCCAGCATACTGGCTACGTTGGTACCAATGGCTCTTGGTTAATTCTTCTGAATGGGAGCCAGCAGGTCAGGATCATGTGACCTCCCCGTGAGAGCCACACCTATTCTTGGGCTTTAAAGCCCACTTACAGGGCCATTGGGAGGTGGTATAAAGGGTTTAACTAGTTTGCATGAGTCAGACAGAGCCATAGATAAGGAGGAAGTTGGGGGGTCTGAACCCCCCCCCCCCCCCCAGAGGAGAGTTGTCAACCATCCCTTAGCAGCCCTTGAAATTTCCACTCACCTGCTCGCATTGGGTGAGTGGAAATAAGGTGGGGACTAGCAGTGCCAGGACTAGGGGTGTGTGGGAGGGGTGGCGGTGGGGGCAGTGACAAGCAGCGATCTCCTGTATGTCTTTCAATGAAGCAGCTGAAAGCCACAGGAGGGGAGAGGAGGAGAGACGGCTTCCAGCTGCTTCATTGAAAGACATACAGGAGATCGCTGCTTGTCACTGCCCCTACCGCTGCACAGATCATCCCTGAACGTTCTGTTTTCTTTCTGGGCCCTCCCGCTGTGTGCTTCTCAGTGCCAAGCCCCTCCCTCCATCCTCCGCACCAATAAGAGAAGAGGGAGAGAGGCTGGATCTGCTCTGCCTTCCCCTATGCCCGCCCACATTCCAGTCCGTGCAGCTTCAGAGGATGTGTGGGTGGGAAATTGAACACAGAGCAGCCGACAGCTCTGATGCATCTGACTGAGCATGTTAGTCCGACATTCCTTTCTTCCACCCACCCCTCCCTTCCACCCACCCATTCCTTCCTTCCTTCCTTCTTTCCTTCCTCCCACCCCTCCCTTCCTTCCCTCCACTCACCCCTTCTTTCCACCCACCCCTCCCTTCCTTCCTTCCTTCCTTCAACCCAACCCTTCCTTCCTTCCTTCCTCTCCTCCCTTCCTTCCACCTCTCTCTTCCACCCCATCCTTCCTTCCACCCACCCCTCCTTTCCTTCCTTCTACCCCTCCCTTCCTTCCTTTCACCCCTCCCTCCCTCCACCCACTCCTACCTTCCTTCCTTCCTTCCTCCCTTCCACCCCTCCCTTCCACCCTTTCCTTCCATTCTTCCACCCCTCCCGTCCTTCCTTCCTTCCACCCCTCTCTTCCTTCCACCCCTAGCTTCCACCCTTTCTTCCACCCCTTCCTTCCTTCCACCCCTCCCTTCCACTTCCGCTTTTTTTTTCTCCCCTTCCTTTTCAGAGGTGCGATATTGTTCTATGTACAATCCTTGTTTTATTGATTGCATGTAATATTCTCATTTTCTGAGATTGTGGATTTGGGGTTTTCATGAGCTGTAAGCCATAATCATCACAATGATGACAAATCACGACTTGAACTATCTTGCTTTGCATGTAATGAGTCTATCCCATATATTAGTTTCACCTTTTAAGTTGCTGCACTGAAAATAAATGAACTTTGTACCATATTCTAATTTTTCAAGTTTCAAGTGTACATGTGAGTCCGCAGCATTCCCCCTTACATCACGGATGTGGACCATGCAAGGCCCTTTATTATGATCCTGCTGTGGGACCCTTTCACATTTTCCGCAGCGGGACCCCTTCCTGCCCTTACATTAGCGTATCTCCTTATATCAGTGTTTCCCTTTACAGTGCATCAGAGTCTGAAGAGTTCCCCCTTGCAGTGCAGACCCTGATGTAAAGGGGAACTCTGCAGACCCTGATGTAAACGGGAACTCTGCAGACCCTGATGTAAACGGGAACTCTGCAGACCCTGATGTAATCGAGAACTCTGCAGACCCTGATGTAAGAGAGAACTCTGCAGATGAACTCTGCAGACCCTGATGTATAGGGGAACTCTGCAGACCCTGATGTAAAGGGGAACTCTACAGACCCCGATGTAGATGAAAACTCTACAGACCCTGATGTAAAAGAGAACTCTGCAGACCCTGATGTAAAAGAGAACTCTGCAGACCCTGATGTAAGGGGAACTCTACAGACCCTGATGTAAAAGAGAACTCTGCATACCCTGATGTAAAAAGAACTCTGCAGACCCTGATGTAAAAGAGAACTCTGCAGACCCTGATGTAAGGGGAACTCTACAGACCCTGATGTAAAAGAGAACTCTGCATACCCTGATGTAAAAGAGAACTCTGCAGACCCTGATGTAAGGGGAACTCTACAGACCCTGATGTAAAAGAGAACTCTGCATACCCTGATTTAAAGGGGAACTCTGCATACCCTGATGTAAAGGGGAACTCTGCAGACCCTGATGTAAAGGGGAACTCTCTGCAGACTCTGATATAAAGGGAAACACTGTTATTGTAAACACCAGGATTTGTCTGTATATTAATCTTCTGCACCAAAGGGCTGGGAGAGGAAGGGACAGCAATGTGACGATGCAAACAGAGTCTTGTGATGATGCAAACAGAGCCATGTGATGAACCGTTGGGGGTGAGATGCTGTTTCAGCATCGAATCAACAAGCAGTGCAGTGACCTTGCTTTACAGCTACTCTGTGTTGGAAAGAAGTGAGGTCACCCACCTGTCCATCTGGCTGCGCTGTCTGGCAGGGATGTTTGGGTGAAGACATTGGCTGAACAGAATCACACATAGTTTGGCAGGTAAGAGAGGTCACATCCAGTATTTTAGCTGTGTATTTGGCCATTTGCCTGAATCGGCAGGACAATGCTGCCAACTCTGAATTAGTAGCTCTTACAAAAATCAGTTTTGTGTTTAGTGAGTTTTTAATGATGTGGACATTTCTGTTTATTGTCTGACAAAGTTAAGTCCAGTTTCTGTGTCCACACCCGCTGCTATCAGATCCATGATATTCTCAGCTGGGAGACCGCACAGTGCTGGTCATGGCCAGTGACAGAGAGATGACACAGCCAATGCAACTGTCTCTATCACATTATTATACAGTATTTATAAAGCGCCAATAGTTCGCTCAGCGCTGTACATTACAAAGGGGGACAGAACATGTGACAGAACAATACCAATACAATGCAAAACATGAGGGGATCGAGGGCCCTGCTCTTTCGAGCTTACAATCTAGGAGGGAGGGGATGGTGGTACAGGAGGAGATAGCTGTGGGGGATGGAGTGGTAGGAAGAGTGGAGGAGGTCGGCAAGTTAGCAGGGGGTGGGGTAGGCTTCCCTGAAGAGATGGGTTTTCAGGGTGCGCCTAAAGGAGAGCAGAGTAGGTGATAATCTGATGGGTTGGGGCAGGGAGTTCCAGAGGATGGGTGACACCCTGTAGAGAGTCCTGGAGGCGGGCATGGGGGAGGAGGAGACCAGGGAACTAGAGAGAAGGAGGTCTTGTGAGGAGCGGAGTGTGCGTGTTGGGTGGTACTTGGATATTAGGTCGGTGATGTAGTTCGGGGCAGTATGGTGGACGGCTTTGTACGTCAGCGTTAGGATTTTGAATTTGATCCGTTGCGCAATCGGAAGCCAGTGGAGGGATTGGCAGAGGGGGGTGGCGGAGATGGAGCGGTTGGAAAGGTGAATGAGTCTGGCAGCCGTGTTCAGGATGGACTGAAGCGGGATAGCCAGCGGCGAGGCAGGCCAGTGAGGAGGGAGTTGCAGTAGTCGAGTCGTGATATGATGAGGGAGTGGATGAGCTGTTTAGTGGTTTCTGGGGTTAGGAACGTGCGGATTTTGGCGATGTTGCGGAGGTGGAGTCTGCATGAGTTTGTTAAAGATTGGACTTGGGGCTGGAAGGATAGGTTGGAGTCCAGAATGACACCAAGTACTCTGGCCTGCGGGGCGGGTTTGATGGTGGCATTGTTGGATGTGATGGAGAAGTCAATGGGGGGTGGGGTCCGGGCTGGGGGGGAAGACAAGAAACTCGGTTTTGGAGAGGTTCAGTTTAAGGAAGTGGAGCGACATCCAGTCTGATATGTCACTCAGTAGGTG